CCCAGTCCTGGGTTAAATACAGTACTCAAGTATTATCATAATGTGTTTAATATACTGGCAATAGGCCTATAAGAGGAATACGGTGAACATATAGTATAATCTGTGGTCAGATTGTTTGAGGGAAAAGCCATTAATGTTTTACTAAAGGTACAGTGGATGCATGAATGAAAACATGCTTCAACATTTCTGTTACAGGCAGAGTAATCTATTTCCAGTCTTCACCTCTGACCTAGTACATCTTCTTCTGTCTCCTGTCTGACAAACTGACATCTGATTTCAATTTTGTGCTTGTTCCAGCTGCCTGTTTCAAACCTGTTTAGAATGGCTTTTTTTTTAGGGGCGGCTGTGGCTCAGGAGGTAGAGCGGGTCGTTTCCTAACCGGAGGATTAGCGGTTTGATTCCCGGCTTGGCCAGACCAACATGTCGAGGTGTCCTTGAGCAAGACACTGAACCCCCAGTTGCTCTTGGTGATGTCACCGGTGTGTGAATGCATGAGTGCTTGGGAGTGCGAATGGGTGAATGGCCGAATAATGTGAAAGCGCTTTGAGTGTGCTGTAAAGGCGCTATACAAGTATAAGACCATTTAAGACCATTTCATGAAAGCATTGCTAATCCATTATTTACAGTTCAATAGAAATTGAAAAGTTCAGTGTAATATTCTAATCTTGCATTTGGAGCACCTTACATTTAAGAGCAGTAAAAAGGATAACATCCTGTCCAGCATTTATATAAAAAAACTCCTTTGAAATAGCTGATGAAGTAGGTCTAACTGAGAGAAACACATCATTTTGTCATGAAAACAGTTAACCACTCACTGTTCCTGCAGCTAATCAAACACAATTAGGAATTGTGTTTTTGCTAATGTTAAAATTAGCATAAAATTTTGTTTTAGTTGAGCCACTAAACCTCAAGTCAGAGTCAAGTCCAAATTACAAAAGAACAATTTGAGTGGAGTCCAAGTCGAGTTTGAGTCGAGTCCCTGTTACCTGAATTAGAGTGATTATGATCTACAATAAACAGAGTTGTTACACCATTTTATATTCAAGACTTTCTAACAGTGTATTACATCACCATAAAGCTCAGCAATCTGCTAAATAAAAATCATTTATAGCAAGTATGCCAGATACAGCATGGTGCAGGTGAACAGGTTTTAATATCAATATCTGATGCCAAATTATTATCACCTATTATAAAAAAAAGTCAGTCCTTGTCTCCAGCTTCAGAGTCAGTTTGCAGTCAATGCTCAAGTCCAAGTTGCGTAGTGAGTCTTGAAAATCTAGACCTGAGTCAGAGCCCTGGACTCAAGTACTACAATACTGCCACAAAAACAAACTTGAACAGCGGAAATAGCACCATCTTAGTTTAGCATGTTAAAATGCTAAAGTTTGTTTATTAGCATTAAACACACAGTACAGCTGAGGCTCATTCATTTTGCAGGTATTTGGTCATAAAGCTAAGTACTGGACAAAATAAAATTGTGAGTCATTACAATATAATTCATCATGAGGGGGACGTAAATATTTGTACCAAATTTCATGGCAATCGATCAAATCAGTGTGGGGACATTTTATTCAAAACCACAAGTGTCAATCTGCTGGTGTTGTTACTGTAGAAAAAAAGAAAGGGATCACTAAACTCAAAAGGTTTCCACTTCTGGGGAAAGTACAAAGTGCCTGTAGAAAATTTCATGGTAAAAGGTAAGTACTGAGTGAGATATTTGAGTCTGGACCAAAGTGGGAGACTGACCTGTAGCCAGTACTGCTAGCATAGCTAAAAAGATTTTTATACATTATTTAACACACATAAATATAAATGCATGCTAGGCACCACACACACACACACATATATTTAACACTTTGCAAAGTACCACTCTTGCTACAAATAGAGCACTTGAATCTTTGTGGAGTACTGCTGACGCATGTTCTCACTGGAGAGTGTCCAGGGACTGCAGGATCAGGGAAACCTGCTTCAGATAGAGAGAGCCTGACTGAGAAAAGAAAGAGCTGGGAAGAGTATGAGGGGTGATGGAGGGGCGGCAGCAGTGTGAACAAGAGTGCAAGGGTGCAGAAAATAGTGCAAAAAGTTTCTTAGACACCGCATTGGGGCCCATCATCAGGCCTGAAAGCGTATTCCCCAGTGAGGAGAAATAGAGAGAGGTAGAGACAGATGAGACATACGAGTAGGGGAAAATGTCCGAGGACAACAATCTTTGACATTTGACCTGGCATTTTTCCTATCAAGTATCAGGCCACAGGAATATCATTTCATTACATAACATTGCACATTTTTGTGTGTGTGTGTGTTGGTGGGGGGGCAGTATTATGATAATGATAACCACAGATATTTCAGTTATGAAGAAAACAACAGTGGACAAGAATGACTTGTTTTTCTCCAGGAAACAGCATAGAGAGGGGGTAATATGATACATCTGTGGGGATAACCAAAAATATTAAAAGATGAAGTAAAATTCAAGTGAGTAGATCAACCAGTAAGAGAGTATGCGAGTGAGTGAACAACTGAGTGACCTTAAAAGGCCACATGGCCTCGCTGGTGAGTGGTGAGCGAGGGAGTGAATGGGGGCCTCGAGGTTATCTCTGTTAGACCCTGATGGGTGGAGTAATGCAATCAGGAGTAACTACAGCTCAACCAGCACCTCCTCTCTCAGTCTGCCCCAGACTCTGCACAGGCACACACTCCTCAGACAGGAAGGTAAGACCCAGCTCTGTCTAGCTGCTCCACTATCCATCCATTTACTCATCCATCTTTTCACCCATTCATCCTTTTCACTGGTCTTCATTCACCATGTATTCCATTCTCCCACATCCTATCTACCTTCCCACACACCTGCACAGTATCCTCACTCTTTAACCACCTCTTCCCACTGTCTGTCCACCTGTCTGTCTCAGAGACAGCCCAACTCCATCTTTTTGAAATTACTGTATTATTTATTTTGGGCACAAAAAAAATCCCCACAACCCCTATTGACCCTAGTTAGCGGAGATTATTTCCACCTTTCTTTCTGCATCAACTTCACTCTTGCCTTCAGCAAAATTGTGTTGATGAAGGTATCATCTCCTTACTGGGTGATTCATTAAACAGTAGTGGCTTCTAGTTATTTTAGTTTTTTGTGGCTTTACAGCATTCGAGGGACTTCACAGCATATTGGTGTGATGCAAATCAAGAGAAAATCTTGTGGTAACACAAAACATATCTGTTAATACAATAGCTAACAAGAAGTTTTAGAGGTTCCTGAAAAACAAAATCTCTAAACAGCTTGTAATGTTAAAGTTGGTGGTAGGGGGTCAAGTTAAAATGAAAACTTTTATTTGTACTGCATGTAATTCAAGATTTATTATGAACAATTTAAATTCAATTTAACATTTTATTCTATTATCCACTTACAAGAGTAGTGGCTATTGTTTAGACTTACTGAACTGATGAGGAATTCCTACAGACTTGTTGCTTTCATACTGAACATCATTGCTACTGGTACAGTACTGGTTTATTGTTTGCACTTATTTATATGGCAGGTGTTACATTTTAAAAGAAATCCTGTACATCTGAGCCCTACAACTCACTTTCATGGAATGACAACATTTTCTTTTTTATCTTGACTAAAGTGAAGATTGCTTACAACAGTCTTTACAAAACAATACTACGGCACTGTTCCACAAGCTGCTCCCTGCCTTCAAAGACAGAAATGTTGTCTTTAAGCACTGGCACTTTCTGACTATAGACCAGGCAGCACTCACGGATGGGCAGCATCAAAGTGACCCCAGAAGCTGGGAAACAGCTGTATAGTATGCCTGAATTTGTGACAGTCTTATTTGTGGCAGTTCAGATTATCCTTTTTTTTCTATTATTTTTAGGAGTCTGATAAATCCTTGTATTAGCTAGATGAGTCACAGTGGGGGCAACAGACAATGAGAGAATGTGGGAGGGGTTGAGAATGCCTAGAGCAGAGGACAGAAGGATTACATGTCTCAACTTCAGCAAGAAAACAAGACATAAGCCTCTTGAATGTCAGGAACTTCATAAATTCCTCACAGATCTTGTGTCTAAATGTCAAATAGATCAAGGGACAGTCCAAACACAAAAAACAGCAAGTCAAAGGGAATAACAACAGAGAACAGCAGCTCACTTAAACCCAGGAATGCAATAAATTAAAAAAAAAAAGAACAGAAATGAAGGAAACAGAGGGGCCATACAAGTGTAAGTTAATCTTCAGTCTTCCAATTTGACAAGCATACTTGTACGGTCAAGGCTTTGTGGAGGAATAAAGAAGACATAGCAGTATGAGTGACAAACAAAATGGGTGGGGTGGTACTAGACATTGTTCACTAACAGCTAATAACTGTACCATTGTCTGTTTTTCACTTAGTTCTTTCCTATATCACTCACAAATTTCATTTTTTTTTAATTTAATTTATATGTTTCCAGCTTAAATTCCATTGAGGTTTAAACCTCTTTTTCAAGGGAGCCCTGGGAAAACAGAGCATAAAGTTACAGAAATAAAGCGCATATACAAAGACACACACACTGAAATATATAGCCTACATTATCCTTGGCCAACAGGGAGTCAGAATATTTAGGCACAGGTGGGATAGCCAGAGGACTGGAGAACAGCCAGGACACGAATTGTGACTATCCATTGTTACATGTGCCATCTAAACCTACTTGAACACACTCGCGAACAGTGACAAGGGTTGCTCTGATCTGGTGCCGACAGCTGGAGGTGAGGTGATGGACGGGTCCATATACAGTGACATGGTGGGCGCTGGTATGTAACAGGTCAAAAGTTGACTGCCTCTAAGCAGGACTGATAGGAGTTATTTATATCCTCCTCATCTGTCACCTACTGCGCCTGGCACCGAGAACAAAACAAAGGAAGCCGAGAGATGAAAGGCAGGAAATGCAATGCAGAAAAACCCTGTAATGTGAAGGATCTTGGTAGTGAATGTGTACTAGAAAACATTTATTGCTATAGATTAATGATCTCTCTCAGTATCACTGCAAACATATATTTGGAAAAAGTAGTAAAAAGACACCACTGTCTGCAAGCCTTAAGTAAGTGATGGATATTGAAGATCTTTTGTAATCATCCAGATGATGCTGTTTAATTTGTATGTGAAATAAAGTCAGCTTCTTTCGACTAAAAAATTTCCTTCTCGCTCTTTCTCAGGTGAGTGATCCTGGTCAAAATGACCGAACGCTACGACTGCCATTACTGCAAGGAGTCCCTGTTTGGGAAGAAGTATGTTCTGAGAGAGGAGAATCCCTACTGTGTGAAATGTTATGAGAGCCTGTACTCCAACACCTGCGAGGAGTGCAAGAAGCCCATTGGCTGCAACACCAGGGTAGGGAACGTTACAAAAGACACTGTACATAAGAGCACTAACATACTTTCTCTTTCTGTCTTGAAAACTAATCAGCATCAACGTCATGCTTACTCTAACCGTCCACCTGTTATAGGATCTGTCCTACAAGGACCGTCACTGGCATGAGGAATGTTTCAAGTGCTTCCAGTGCAAGCGCTCACTGGTGGACAAGCCCTTCTCCACCAAGGATGAACAGCTCCTCTGCACTGAGTGCTACTCCAATGAATATTCCTCCAAGTGTCATGAGTGCAAGAAAACCATCATGCCAGGTGAGAAGAAAGCCACAAAAAGAGCAGTCATCGCTATATATTAATTCAAGATGCAGCAAAATGCAGTTTCTGATTCGAGTTCTGAAAGCCTTATCTACAAGTTTTGAAAAATAATTTTTGTAGCATCCACTAGAACATTGCAGTACATGTGAGATGGATTAAATGAAATACTATAATGAACTTTAATAATTTTCTGACCAGTATCAGAATACTCCCAGTGCACCCTTGTATGTTGTGAAAGACTGAGACAGAATCAGAAGCCTAATTAGATTTCCACTGCATGCCAGATTATGAAACCAGAAATATATGTGCCTGTAGCCTTTGCCTGACTTTAAAATATAAACATTACTATGAAGTCAGAGGAACATCACATTTTATACAATTTCATTACAAGATCATACAGACAACACCAAAATATAATTAGAGTAAATGTTACCTGTGTGCAGACTCCAAATTCACATGCTCAGTTTCTCTGATTCTTTGTTTCTGAAGGCTCCAGGAAGATGGAGCACAAGGGCAACAGCTGGCATGAGACCTGTTTCACCTGCCAGAGATGCCAGCAGCCCATTGGCACAAAGAGCTTCATCCCTAAGGACACCCGTAACTACTGCGTGCCCTGCTATGAGAAGCAGTTTGCCATGCAGTGTGTGCACTGCAAGAAGGTAGAAGGCCCATTTACACATACAGTCTGAAGTGATCTTCAAAGTAGTACTTAGTTATTCTTGTTCCTCACTCAGAGAATAACAACTACACCTGTTTGGTATGTGCTACAATGTCTGACAGCATGACACTCTTGTTCCCTTTAATCAGCCAATCACCACTGGCGGGGTGACCTACCGTGACCAGCCCTGGCATAAGGACTGCTTCCTGTGCACGAGCTGCAAGCAGCAGCTGTCTGGTCAGAGGTTTACCTCTAAAGACGACTTTGCTTATTGTCTCAACTGCTTCTGCAACCTCTATGCAAAAAAGTGTGCCTCCTGCACCACCCCCATTAGCGGTAATCACTCATTATTAGTCTCCTGAAATCTGAAAATATTTTTTGTTTCTCCATTTTCTTGACTTGTACTTTCTCTTTCAGGTCTCGGAGGTAGCAAATACATTTCCTTCGAGGAGCGCCAGTGGCACAACGACTGCTTCAACTGTAAGAAGTGCTCTGTGTCCCTGGTTGGCCGTGGTTTCCTCACTGAACGTGACGATATCCTGTGCCCAGAGTGCGGCAAGGACATCTAACTCAGTGTAAGGGATAATGGATACATTTGGTTTGATGGCAATGTTATGATCAAGGAATGAGAATACAATAAATAATGTCTAAACAAATAGCATATGTACTACAAAGCATTGCTATGAACGCACACTGTTTTATGATAAACAACAAATCTATTAAGTGAAAATGTATTTAAGGTAAATGTTCACTCTAAGAAAGTCATTACTAACAAAAAAAAAAAACATGAATGTTAAGTCATTTGCATTAAGACATTTGAAACCAACATGTTAGCGTCATTGTGAAGTAAATTTACAATATTAATGCCAACTTTGATTTGCAATAATAATTACTGTGTGCATGGGTTTTGTGAACTAGCTCTGCTATAACCAGTTTAAAATCTCATCCTTTTTCCTTATAAATGCTAACTGTAGTTGTGCATGAAATCCTATAAATTTCAGAACTGTTGATACAAATAATGACGACGACGAATGGGTCAAAGTGCACGCAAATGTAATACAAAATATATTGCAGATTGTTGGGTCTAAACTTCTTAAAAGAATTTTATATTTCTTATATATCTTTCCAGCAACATTCAGTTTAAAATGTTGTATACTGTATGCTACAATACCAGCATTTTATCATACATAGGTCACAGAGCTGTTGACATTTCTACTGCAATAAAGCCAATAGAAGTGAATCACTGTATTGGACAATTTATTTTAACAAACAGTCGGTATAAATATGACACTATTTGACAAAGGATGCAAAATGCATTGAGAATCTTGTTCCTGTGTGTTTTTGATGAACTCTGTCTACATCGGTTTCATAGAAGTAAATTTATGAACAATTGAAAATAAACCTACTTTAAAAAGATGATATTCTGTTTATTCCATAGTCTTCTTTTCCTAGATCACTGAAAGGGGATATTTAGATACTTGAGTACAAGTTACCGGGTTTCTCTGTGTCAAAGTGGCTACTAAGCAGTGGATTGATTTTATTCAGCTGTACAAGAAAAATAACTGGACCTCTGTGTAATGTACGTACATTGTGTAATACCACATGTCACAAACATTTAAAAACCCTGAACATTCTGCGAAACATCTCCGAAGTTGAAATAAAACTCAGTGGAATGAAGCCAACTGAGGATAAAAATGACATGCTCACAATTAAAAGTACACAAACACACCTTCCAAAATGCTCTGTTCAGCATAAACTGTGGTGTGTAGTGTTAACCCCTAACTCACACTGAGCATTTTTAGATGCATCTTTGTGCACATCAAACCACTGCTGATAGAATGCCATTGTATCAAATGTGCCAATACACACCGACTCAATGTGCATCTCCCCTGGACCATCCACATTCTTTTTACACTTCAGTTGTAATGTTTTTTCCTCTACCACATTTTAGCGAAGGGTAATCTCCACAGACAGCTATTTAAAAAATAAAATCACATAACTCCCCAGTTATTTTCTGCTGCAAACTTTGTACTTGTATTAATTGTGGCAGATCAATTCCCTAACAGACTAGCGGTTAGGGCGTGGCACTCTTGCCGCTGCGGCCCGGGTTCGAGTCAAGAAGGGGATCCGGTGTAAAACACATGCCAAATGGCAACATGTGAATCATCAGTGTGACGATTTGCTGTGGCAACCCATAACGGGAAAAAGCCAAAAGTGACATTCATTCACTTTTATTATGACGGATCAAGCTGCTGATGCACACTTTGAGCTTTTTGGTTTCACTATCACAACACTATATAAAAACACCAATGACGTCTTCCTACTGAACCTACATGAAAGCTATTTTTGTCCAGAACATTTCTGCCGTCAGTCAGGCTGGTGAATACTTTCTCCAGCCTCAGATGAATTTCCTGTTTCATTTTTTTTTTTTTTTTAACAAAACCAATGCCAGAAAGTTTCCCTCATATCACTACAAACCAGCACTGGAGGCCATATTACACAAACCAACTCGTCGACAGAAACAAAATACAAACAGCCGTAATTTCCATGGCATTCTGGAGTTGATGATCATTGATGGTAAGGGCACTTCAGGTTGAGGAAGGCTACAATGAGGCCTGTGACTTCGGCAGCACCACCTCATCCTGTCAGAACTGAACGAGAACAGTGAGGTGGCCTCAATGCACGAGTTACAGGGTTTCCACTTCTTTCTGTGATGCAGTTAGTGAGAAGGAGAGCAAAGGTAGTGGGCAATAAGAGCCAGTGTTTAGTGATGGGAGGGGAGTGAGCCGTCCACACCAGAGCCTACCCTCTCATTAGGTCTCTGTGTCTGGGTTAGACGTCAGGGCCATGTCACATGCTGGATCTTTTTCTTCACCTCTGGAGACTTCGATACACCCTGGAGTGACAGAAGATCACACATCAACAGGTATTAAGAATAGCGGTGGAACAAAATCAATATAATGCAATGCATCTTTTAAATATATTGCATATCAGAGCACCATCTTTGTCAAAATACTGTATTGATTTCCACTTCTAATAATACGAGTAACACAAAACAATATGCATAATTGTGACATTATCGCTGAACAACAGTTGATTTTCATGGACAAGAGGTGACAGAACAAAATGTCATACCGAGCTATTTGCTTCTCGTTTGTTGTTTGCTGTGTCAGTGCTGCGATGAACGGATGACATGTTGCCCGAAAGCTTGCGGATGGGGTTGGACAGGTTTGCAGCTGGAGGAGGTTTTAACCTGTCTGTGATCCCTGCTGACACTGTGGTTCCCTCTGGCTTTTTCACTTTCAGTGGGCCAGAGGGAGAGGAACTGCCATCAAACACAATCAGAGGCCTTTTCCTGTTGTGGTCATTACTGGAACTGGAAATGACCAAACAATAATGAAAACAATAATTAACTGTTTACATTCAAATAGAAACTCATGCCAATAGTGAAGGCTCTATTTTCATGCAGGATTGTGGCAAGAAGTGCTGCTCTGTGCTGGCATTTTTTCTGAGGCACACTGAGATCCTTTTCTCATCTCCAGCAGTGGACTACAACTTTGGTGCAAAGAATGACTTGTTTCACACTGTCTGCTGCCCATCTGCTTGGACCAGGTCAACAGCACAGCACATCTGTGTTCAGTAATATATTTATCACTTAAGTCAAACACTTTATGTGATGTTCATGTTTTGCTGTTCTGTTAGGCTTTCATCATGCATTTATGAAAATGCCAAACATGCCAGGGACACAGAATAAAGAGTAATAACTGATTCTTGTAAATAAACACACCGGGTGTGGAGAAAACTGGGACACAAAATGCTGTCTACAAAATGCCCCTTCTTTCTGATGTCTACACAGGAGTGCTGGTGCACAGGTATACAGGAGAGTGGGTGGAAAAGGCACACCCATGAGGTTTTTGCCCCTCACAGCATATCCATGAATTCACTAAAGTGCACAAAAACCTATTTGAACAGCACATTTACTTGCACTTGGTGAAATATGCGGAGTAGGCCTACTATTAAATGTTTAAATCTACAGTTGCCTAACTGATTATGTATGTGGCTGCTGGAATAGTGAATCTGGATGTTCAGAATGAATAGCCTACTCAGAAAGGCGAGCCAGTCTTTTCAGAAGTCTGCACACAAAAAAATGGCAAAAGTAATTTAACTACCTCAATCACTACGCACATATGAATGTAGTTCATCTACCAGCAAGCTACTGCAAAATGTACTTAAACTAATAGTTTAATTATGTATTTCACGACTACTCAACACTGCTGACTGCCTATTAAAGCACAATAACATTCATCTTGAAAACTCCGTGTGTGACCTGTCAGACCTGTGACCTGCCGATGTCCGTCTTCCCCGGGTCTTCTCCACTCTCCTCCCCCAGCGGCTGTTGGGTAAACTCCTCTGCGGTAGCGGGATGACATGTCGGAGGTAAAGCTCTGTGAGCTGGTCCCGACTCCCGCAGTCTCTGATATTCACATTTTTCTATTTCAAATATAAAGAACAACAAAAAAAGTCTGATTAGATAAGCTTGCCTGTTTTTCCCCAAATGCCTTCTGTCACCTTATGCCAAACATTGGTCAGCGGCTGA